AATTGCAAGCATATTATATATGTACATATTATTTATATTTTTAATTTGTATTAATATACCGTTTAACATGTAATTTTTTTATGTATTTTTTTACAAAATAAAAATAAAAATAATTTTAAATAAGATAGAAAAATTAAAATTTAAAATAAGATATGAATTTATTAAAATTTATAAGTATAAAATATATTTAATATGAATACTTTTTAATAAAAATAAATAAAAATCGAGTCATGCGGTTCAACTAGTGACCCACCGGTTCAATCTTTGACCCACTGACCCAATACCTTAACCGGTTCGATGACCGGTCCAATTTTTAAAACTATGCCACTAACACTAATTTGTTGCTTGCTACTACGCAACCATATAGGCCTCAACTTATTGGTTAATTCAAATAGTGAAGTCACTCTCACTCATCATAGGTTTATAGGTTGAAGTTAAGAATTAATAGTGAGGTCACTTTTACAAGTTAATTAACGTTAAGGCAATGCTTGATCCTTCTTCTTTTTTTTTTGTTATTTCTATTTCTTAAAAGGAGAAGACGAATATCTAACATATCTCTTAAAATATGAAAGAAAAATAAAAACAAATATTTTCTGAAAAAGAAGTACTTATGTGGTTTTTAGTATGAATTTTTATTTTAAAAAGGCAACTTCTCTTTCTCTTGCTTTCTCTCTACTCTATCTCTATCTTCTCTCTGCTTTCTCATTTTTCTTTGCCCAGTTTTTTCCATTACCTCTCGGGTCATATCTTCTAAATTAAAATGAATGAAATTTATTAAATAATTTATACTTGACTTCTAAACTTCTTATTTTAAGTTTTAACTTTAAAATAAATTTTAGGTAGAAAAAAAAAATTGAGAGCTAGAAATATAGTCTGTTTATTTGACTTTTTTACTAAATAAGTTTGGTTGATTTTTTTTAAAAGCTTATTTAATTATAAAAAAAATTCAAATCTCATACTACTAAAAAGAAAAGCTTTTAAATCTAACAAATAATCTTATTTAAGTAAAATAGAAGAAATATAATAATAATTTTATGTATACATAAGCTATTATTATTATTATTATTGATACATAAGGTTTATATATATAACAAATTTTAGTTTTAGTTTATTCATTTATATATCTGACCACTAATAAATGGATGTTATATGAGGAAATACACTTTATTTTCTCACGGATATGAAGGTTAGCCTCATGCTCCTAATATCCTTTTTTTTATGTTAAAATAATATTTAATCGATGTAAGTTATATTTTATAAATATAAATAAATATTTATTTGTCAGTTTTAGAATATGATGTGGATCATTTCCATAAAAAAAACACGAATACCTTAAATAAAATATACATTCGAGTATTATAGATAAAAAAAATATAATTAAAAGAAAAAATTCTATTGAAAAAATTAATTTTTACACTAATAATGTAGATAAAAAAAATTAGGATAAAATACTTTTTAAGTCCCTATCATTTTACTTACTTTTATTTTTTAGTCTTTATAATTTAAAATAAATTTTTTAGTTCATATATTTTTTTTCTATCGCTTTTATTTACTATAGTTTAAGATAAATATTTTTAGTCTTTATAGTTGAATTTTTTAATTCATTTAGCCCTTGTCATCAGTTTTTTGTAACGTTATATCTTTTGTATTAATGTGACAAAGGTATTAAATCATTTTTGTGTGTCTAATATTAAATTTATTTTGTTAAAACTATTCTAAATTAAATTTCTTAACATTTTGTCTCTTTTATACTTTTACATGTAACATCATTGTTGAGACACCTTTTTTTTTATTTCCACAAAATTTAAAGTCTTTATCACATCAATGCAAAACTAACTTTACAAAAACAAAATTACAATAGGGACTAAAACAATTAAAAAATTATAAGCATAAAAATTAAAAATAAAATTTTAAAGATTAACAAAATTGAAAAAGAAAAATATAGAGAATAAAAATATATTTTTTTAATTATAGGAACTAAAAAATAAAATTAATGAAATTATAAGAAAAAATTAGTAATAACCAAAATCTATCCCTAACCTTAGGTGAGTCTCAATTTTTTGTCACCCATTTTCCTATGCCCTCTTCTCACGTCTCTTTCTATCACAATTTCTTATACTTGTCGGTTACTGGGTGTGACAAACCAAAGAGAGTGAAAAGATAAATATTGGCCTCAAAATCACACCTTCCCTCCGCGGCCCCCCCTATATAAAGCTCCTCATCATTACACATCTCAATTAGAATTCAGAAGAGAGTGAGAAAAAAGAGCACTCCTTTAGCTCCACAAAAACCATCTCCTAACACTAACCACATGGCTTCCCAATGCCAGAGACTAATGCACTGTGCAGCCTCTTATGGAGAAAGAGGGAGCCATTGCTCTCTATCTCATCGCCAAAGCTATGAATATCATCGAATCCAACCCCATGGTAACTTCAAAGAACATCACAACCTGGCACATGAAAAGGGTGCAAAACGTGCCACAAATTATAGAGGTAGACAACAAGCACAAAAGCTTCAAAGGTTGGGCTTCTCCTACCTTGCATCATCTTTTCTTTACATTGTCATAAAGGTTAAAGCCTTCTACAACGGTTTCCTTGGAGATGTTGCTGGTGAAACAAAAATGGGCATTGAAGCAACAATGAATGCTGAGCCATATTTCTCAGTGCCAGTTCTTCCAAATTAACAAAGCTCCTCCTTTCTAGCAGGGCAAACATGTTCTCATCATGTCTAGTTCACTAGTATATTGGAGTATATAAAGCAATAAATATCTTGAATGTTTATATTATTATTATTTAAATTGGGTAGAAGTTTGTAATTATGTTGCTGACTAGAGTTGTACTTCTATGCGCAGGTTTCTTGAGAAGTTCCCTGATAGCTTATGAAGTAAAATTACATCTTGGGGGAACTGAATTAACATGTAATGATGTAATAAATAAAAGTTTATCAAAATGTTATTCGTTCTACGTATTGGCGACCTCTTTTTTTTTTTTTTTTTTTTTTACAAAGGC